AGCGCGCACTCGGGGCCCCGGGGTGGGCCAGCCGGGGTCACGGGCTTCGAGGCGGTGCTGCGCAGCGCGCTCCCGTGGAAGAGCTGTCCGCGCTGGCTGCGACCTCTTCCTAGAGAGACGCGGGCGGGGACGCGCGTCCTGGCAGTGGGTGCCCGGCTGGTACGCCTTGTCCAGGCAGCGAGCGCACCTCGGGTGGCAGGGGTTCTGTCCCGGGAGCAGGGTCTCCCCACCAAAGACTCAGTCTTCCAAGCTTCTGGAGAAGCAGCACCCGCCTCACCTTGTCCCGTATTATTGCTGGGCCGGACCGGTATGTAGGTTCTAGGGAGTCTGTTCTAAAGTTGCAAAGGGAAGCTGGGGGAAAGGGCCTAGCAAAACCCGGATAGGTGTTAGGGTTCATACAGGAAACCCAGACGCGGGGTTAACAAGTTCCCTGTCCTGTTGGAAAGAAATGTCCCACTGCTCTGCACATGTAATCTCTCGTTTTTCTCTCTCCCTTAAAAGAACCATGCTTCTGTTAGCCTCAGTTCCCTTTATAGCGCGTGGATAAGAAAGCAGGCCCCGGAGTCAACTTACCGAAATTCAACCCCCAAATTCCTGACTCCATCCGTCTGTGAATTGGTAGTTTATGTATGCCTAAGTTTCCTGAAATGAAAATGAAATAACATAGCTCAGAGAAATGTAGGGTTAAATAAAATATCCATCAAAAGCAGGTACTGTCATGCTACAGTTTGTCAACTAAAAAATGCATATTAATACTTTTTCTGGTGACCTCGCTTATAATCCAGAGACAGAAATTTTGCAAAGGGCAATCGCAGATGTTGGGCAGTTCCTGAACGGAAGTCCAGACACCGGCAGAGGGGAGAAATGACTGTACAGGCCAGCCCATGAGCTTCTCTCGGTGTGCACATCATCCTGGTTATGGAACGGGACCTGAGGGAGCTAATCATGGCCAGGAGCACTACTCACCCAATTTGGGAAATGTGGGGGATTGGGGAAGGGGGTAAGGAAAATCTTCCAACAGGGAAGTGTAATAGGGATACGTTTACTAAAGCGCTTACTAGCCTGTGCACTGAACACTAATTCACTGCTGAAAGATAGGCCTCGGAATCTCAATGTGTTGAAATGTCAGTTCTCTCCAAAGGCCAGTGGATTTTATTTGACAAGCTAAAATCTAAAAACCCATGAAAGTGTTTGTGTATGTGCATAGCCTATTCTAAACCTTGCCATGAAGCTACCATCTTCAACATCGCATAGTAAGCAAAAGGGAGGCATGGAATGGTGTGACGACAGAGTCCAAATACACTAAAAGTAGAGGTAATTCCATGTGGCAATTGTAATCTTCCAATAAGGAGCACAACTGGACGACCACATACAAATGAATCTCACACCACAGACACGTGCTGACTTCCAAGTAATCACAGAACTGAGCACAGACACAAGCACTATACAACCTCTTGAAGAAGACAACAGAATCTGTGAACCTAGGGACGGCTAAAACTTCGTAGGTGTGCCTTCCACAAAGTGAAGAAGAATGAAGGGCGGGCTGGGGGACAGGGCGCGATGGTGACTACTATGATGGACACACAGGAACCCCAGATGTGGCCTAGTGAGTTCCTGTCCCACTGGGAAAAGTGCCCCACTGCTCTCCACACTGAACTCTCCATCCTTCTCTCTTGCTCTCAAGAACCATGCTTCTAATAGCCTCTTTCCCTTTCCCTTTATAAGCATGGAGCTAAGAAAGCAAGAGAGAGGAGACAGAGAGAATAAGACTCTAAAACATAAACATAAAAATGTAAAAATATATTCAAAAAATAACTGTAAAGTGAAAAATATCCACAATACATTCACCTAGGAAGGGAGCTATATCCAGATTGTATGATGACTTCATAATTCAATAAGACAGGGGCTGACGAGATGACTCAGTAGTTCAAAGTGCTTGCTGTTCTCTCAGAAGACCTGAGTTTGGTTCCTAGCATCCAGGTCAGGTGGTTTATAGCCCTATAACTCCAGCTCCTTTTCTGGCCTCCTCGGATACACATACAACACACACACACACACACACACACACACACACACACACACACACACGAGTAAAATAAAGCATTTTGTAATTCAATAAGAGTCTGAATTTTTTAGCAAATAAAAGAATGTAGACCACAGGAGAATGTAGAAACAGCCAGTGGTACACGCAGAGAGGCTTTGCCTCATTAGTTATTTGGGAAATTAAACCCACAAACAGAACAAAAGCACCGTGGAAGAGGCTAACGTTTCAAAGCGCTGGCTAGGGTGTGCAGCAGTTGGCAATTGGCCTTCTCCACAAGACTGAAGCAAGCACTGCTTTGGAAAACAATTTATCAACTTATTTAAAAGATCAACACCTTTAGTCGTCCTATGGCCCAGCAATTTCCTCCTTTGTGTTTAACCGAGACAAATAAAACCATATGCCCACACAAAGAATTAGACACAGATATTCATAACAGCTTTAGTCTCAGTAGCCCCAAACTAAAAATAACCCACGTGTCTACTAACACATAAATGAATAGACAAATGGTAGTGTATTTGTTGAATAGGATATTACTCAGCCGCATAAAGAGATAAGCAGAGGTCCGTTCCACATAAATGAATCCCATAAACTCTGTGCTGAGCTAAAGCAGCCAAACCAAATGTGTGATGTATGATTATTTCTCAGGAGACTAGAAGGGGGGAAACTACGGTGACAGCATTGCTTGAAGCTGACGATGTCTTGGGAGAGGACAGACCAAGACTAAACAAGGACCCTGTTTGTTCTGATTAGTTTTCACACTAAATGAAGGATGGGTTCATTTACGTATGAATTATTACCTGGAGTTTATCTTAAAATACCTTGCATATTATTTTAAGATGTGTGCTTTTACATATTAGTGATGACATGAGACCCAATATTATGGCAGAGGTGAGTTTTATTTTTGTGGTTAATAGTCTCCCTTCCCAATAGCCCTTTAAAACACTGAATTTGAGTCGCTTCTTAGTCCTTTGGCTGAGATCAGTGCAAAATGCAGAAGCTGACACAGGTTTGTACTTAGTTTTCACAATAGTGATGTTTCTTACAAAATTCAAAATGTAACAGTTTGGAAAAAATATTAAATACTTAGGAATAAATAACATCAACAGATTTATTAAATTGTCCCTTTGAAAATGAATAATTTGTTATGTATAGTTGTAAGTAGATTATACCGATGAGTGAAAAAAAAAATGAGAGTACATCTTCACAAAGCAGAATTTTAGAGGGGAGAAGGAAAACTAGTCGTATAAATGAACAAGGTATATTCTCTATCTTGGAGTAATAAGATGTGTTAGTTGCATAACACCTCTCCTACCAGCGAGTTGTTTTAATAATCTCTTTATTTCTTATGGATGACAATAAGGCCCCTTAAGTCCTAGACAGAATCTAAAATCTCCTTCAGAATAGAATCAGTTTGAGAGATTGATATCCTGTGAGCTGGAAACCAAGACTTTCTCAGTAAAAACCTTCTGCTCTATAGATATGTTGTTATAAGAACTTTGATTTAAAAATTATTCCATGCATAACAAAATTGATCATGAAAATATTCACATGCTATGATAAACAGTCATTTGTGCATGACTGAATATAACCTCAGGAGGAGTATTTTAAGTTTTCCTTTAGATTTGGTGTTCAAATAAGCAGAGATAAAGTCCAGGGAACTTTAGAATGTATATGCTTTTCTTCTTGTAAATCTCCCTACAGCAAGCATCTGCATGTTTCAGTGTTAAACACTGAATTCCCTTCAAAACTGAACTTAACTTAAAAAAAAATTTAGCATGGCAAATTGCTTTGAAGAAGCAGATTCCTTGGTGAGGTCTTCTTTCCAAAGATCCTTCATGATGTATCAGCTGCAGACCCAAGCAGAGGAATCGCCTAAACCCAGACTAGCTTGTCGATGCTGGTCATCCACTAAACAGCCTGTGGCAGTTATTAAGTGTTAGGTGTGATCTCTGTTATGGGAAAGAGGGGAAGTCCCAAGGTGAATTGCTATAAACTGGGGATGCTTGTATGTGTTATAAAAACCATTGTTGGTTATGAAGAGGTTATTTACAAACTTTGGCATTATAAACAGTGGTTCAGCCTTCCCCATGCCCCCTGAAAAGAACGTGTCAGAAGCAACAGCTATTCAAAAGTACCTGTTAGGAAAGGGAAAGCAATCTAGGGATGGGAGAATGCTGAAATTTTCAAGCATTTTTACCTTTTTTTAAAACGTCTCTTTTTCCTCCTGTAATTATTAACATTTATTTTGATACAGCAAGCCACACAGCAGTGTTAAAACACAATATGCTGAGTATACAAATGTCTCACAGGTGAATGCTGGCAAAAGGAGTAGATTATTTCAATCTTTTCCTTTCTTATCTTTTAGTAATATTTCTGTTAATTCTTCAAGGATTTCATGTAATGTGTCTTAATCATATCAGCCTTCCAGATCAATCTACGAACCCATCCAACTTACAGCTTTTTTTCAAACTTATTTTATTCTTTTTTTTTTTTTAAGATTTTTTTATTTATTATGTATACAGTATTCTGTCTGCACATATCCCTGCAGGCCAGAAGAGGGCACCAGATCTCATTACAGATGGTTGTGAGCCACCATGTGGTTGCTGGGAATTGAACTCAGGACCTTTGGAAGAGCAAGCAGTGCTCTTAAGCTCTGAGCCATCTCTCCAGCCCCCTTATTTTATTCTTAATTAAAATATAAT